TAGAAGGATAATAATCTCCTTCTTTGCTTGGGAAAAGTAGTTTCAGAATTGAAATAATATATTCAGGACATTAATGTGGAAGCAAACATAGATAAGTCTCTAATAATATATTCAGGACATAAATGTGGAAGCAAACATAGATAAGTCTCCAAACATTAGATGAGTTGAACCTTATTAGAGTTTCAACAAAATTTAAGCGCATAAACGAGTATGAGCAAGCACTAATCAATCAAGTTTGAACAATCTTTTCCCGCCATTGAATAACCTTATGATGAATGTCAGGAATACACCACTTAGGCCAGTGTTGCCACCACGGTAGAGAGAACCCGCAAAAGTCGCACAAAGAGAGAGGAAGACCACGAGGTGATACCAATCTAATGCAAAGAGTATCATGGAGATTGCTGACATCAAGCAGAATAGCGAGACACACTCAAGAAATCTTCCCCTCATTGAGCCTCTGGTTTGGAGAGAAAGCACAAAGCAGATCGGCCATGCCATCAACAGACTGACAACAACAGCATCGAAGATTCGGTAACCTATAGACTTGTCGGGGTCAAAAACCAGTGGGAGAGGAGTAGGAGGAGCAGGTTGGAAGGATTTGGTGGGGCCTTCAAGAATCAGAGATTGGACATGGAACAGTAGGGTTGTGGGTTTGGGCATAAAAGACAGAAGGCCAACAAGAAAAGCTCCCCCAATTGACTGTAGATAAAGCATTATATCGTTCCAACTAGCAGGTCTGGCCTTCTCACAAAGAGATTTACGGACAATTAACAAACAGGCAGGACCATTTTGCGAGAGAGAGAATCAGACATCAGTGGGAGTATGAGCAAGCACTGATTAGAATAAGAGAGTAGGATCATTTTGAAGAACATTTTGCCACCATTGAAGAACCTTTTGATGAAATCAGGGAATACGCCACTTAGGCCACTTTTGCCACCACGGTAGAGAGCACCAACAAAGGTGGCACAAAGGCAGAGGAAGACCACAATGACTACATCAAAGATTCGTTCACCTCTACTCTTGTTGGGGTCGAACACAAGTGGTAGAGAAGGAGGAAGGGTAGGTTTTAAGGATTTGGTGGTGTTGACAATGAGAGATTGGGTGTGGAACAACAGCGTTAGTTGTTGTCTTATTGCTTTGATCTTTGAACATTTTTATATAGTAGGAAGGTGAGATATAATTCAAAAATACAAGTTTGGATAACATGCTAATTAGTTAATCTATAAGTTTGTGTGTTAAACTAAATTATGTGTATATAACGAATAATTCATATTGGATATGGATAAGATAGGATCATTCGATAATGCACAGTCAATGTACAAGCCTTTTTCAAGCGCATAAAAAACCTTCTAGATTCTTACGGATTCTTAACTCGAAATTTGTTGTTAAATGAATAACTTTACAAGTCATGTGGTATCTATATCTTATACCACATGCATATAAGATGCATTGTCGTTTAACACTCTTTAGTTTTCCTCAAATGTATCCTAGTTCCTCATGTTTTATATTACTTAAAAGACTGAGAAATTTGTTAAGGAATGAATCTGTTTTCTTTTTTTCGGCATGTCATCGGTAATCCAAACTATAAAAAAAAAAAAGTGTTTTTGGATATAGAGAACACCCCAACCGGAGATGATGATCCAGCTAATATTTGGCGGAACATAATTATGTTATTCGTAAATTGGGTTTGGAAGAACTGATCCAAATGAGGCGATCAAAATACTGACGCTGGGACGCTCTGGAATGCCTTCCAAAAGAAGAGATCAAACTCATACACGTAGATCACAAAGGTACGATAAATCCAAATTTTTCTATATGTATGTAAATGTTGAACCTCGCACAATTGAACAAATTCTCTGCTCCAATATTTTCAGGTAAAAAAGATGTGGCTGATAAAAATATTACAGCAATGATGGCTTGAGCACTTTGGGCATCTAAGAAACATGAGACTCCTGGAAACGTGGTATTAATATTTAGAGGCTCTGAATATACTGCTATACACTTCGAGAATTAAACATATGTTTTGTTAAATCTTGGTCATAAACAATTGAGTTGAAGATGAAAACTCTTTAACAGGTTGAAGTACACCGCATGCTAACCATAATTAGAGATCTTTACCAAGACATTTAGATAAAATGCATAACAATGTGTCAATTTCCAATACAATGTTTAGAGGTGGGTACTGACTACATGCAAGAAAGGGTATAAAAAGTTAGAAACTTACTCAAGATTGGAACTTGGAATCGTAGTTACTTAAACTTCTATATCCAAAATTAGTTTTTTTAATTGTATTAATGAAATATCCTACTAAAGTCATATTCTTCGAAGATAATCCATGTCATGTTGACAAAAAAAAAATCCGTATGTCATTTAATTCCTGTTGGTAAATGCAAAAAGGAATTCAACCATAAACATAACATAAAATAAGTGGAGTTAGAGTTTAAACCATAAACACAATCCCAATATGGTTATTTCAAGGGTTCGATTGAGTTTAGACTTGTGAGGATTAAAAACAAGGGTCCGGGAGAGAATGAGGAAGAGTAGTGAGTGTGAAAAAGGAGAGTGAGTGGGTTTTGGGATGAAGGAAAGGAGAGCAAAAACGAATGCTCCACCAACAGATTGTAAAATACAACATTATTTCATTCCAATGAGTAAGTTTTATCTTGTGATCCAGAGACTTTCAGAGAAGAAAAATACAAGCAAGAGCTGTTACTCTACAAAAGTCTGTGAATGAGATCTGATTCTCCCCCTTCATTTCAAAGGATGCAAACTCTGTTAGTTTTGTGGCTCTAACTCTGTAATCCCTTTAATCCTAACCATTTTCAATGCATCCTTAAGATTTTTTTCTCACCATAACAAAATTCAGCTTGTTAACTCAAATTTTTTGCTTGCTTAACAAAATATCATAAAATTAAAGTAAAAATATAGTAAAAAAGTTTACGAAATTCATATTGTTAACCCACAACAGCGGATAAATTTCTAATCAACAAAAAAGTTAAATCTAGAATGACTTAGAGTTAGAGTTAGAGTTAATTACTAGAATGATTTTGGAAAGTAGGGTAATTACTAGAATGACTTTGTCAAATCTAATAAGTTGACACAACTCGATAAAAGACAAATAAACCTTAGTAATCTATTTTATTTACGAAACTACCATCGTGAAACCTAAAAAAAAAAAAATTATAAGTCTGTCATAACTATCCAATAAGCCTACCACCACATGTCTACGTTGAAAGTTATTTAAACCAATAAATCAAACATTTGTTTGAAACCACTGCCGCGGAGGCTACGGAAGCACCGGATCGTGCTCGGCGYAGGTGGGAAGGCTGCAGAAGCACCGATATTTAGGTA